ATATAATAATCCTCATAGGATATACATATACTTTTGACTATTCTACTTATATACCATCTTTCCTGGCTGTGCTTATAGCAGACAATTGTGGATTGCATGCGCGATAGCTGCACCGAGAAGGGAGAGCGGATGAGCCCTTTATGTAGATGAAATTACGAGAGGGTCCGAGATGAACGGATGAAGAGTGGCTAGAGACGAGACCGCTGAAATTTTGTCTCTCAGCAATCGTTATAAGTATTACGACGATGACGACAACGACGACAACGACGATGATGACGATGATTAGGACGATGAAGACGACGACGACAACGATGACTACGACGAAAACGACGACTAGGCAGAAATCATGGATAGCTGAACGAAGAACGCCAGGAGTGCCAGACGTGCATAAACTCTCGATTTAGGGTGATGGTCAGTGGTCAGCGGATCAGTATCGTAGCAGTGCGTAGAACTAGCCACCCCGTGTCCGGTCGGTCACGGCCCATGTTTGCCGCGTTTTCTCGCCCGCAGAGTGTGCAGAGGGAAACCCAAAGTAGATGTGAAGTGCTCTACGCTGTAACTACGACGCGCAGTGTGTGTCACAAACGTGAACCCAAGGCGAATCTCGCGCGACAATGTCGAGTAGCAACACACATTTCACATGCGTGTGCTGTATGCTCAGCCGCAACTCCTATAAATAACGGGCAATATTACGTTGACCACTTTACAACTAGTTTCTTTATGTTTGTAAAAATATCTTTTCTTTTTCTTTTAATTATTACCAATTATGTCTAAATTATTTATAATCACCATTATTTAAATAACGGAATATATAATTTATATATTATACAATCTTTCTTATAAATAAAACAAGTGAAATTAGCACAATGACTGTGATATTGTGATAGTCTCATTTGATCAAGAAAAATTTCACATAACTCAATGGAAATCATAATGTATATATTAAATATTTGTTTCCTGATTATTATATAAATACCAGACAAAGAACGCCTAATTAAAGGCCTAAATCCAAATATGGCTGATTCGCACAAAAATAGAATCTTTGCAATTGTAAATATGAACTCTCATCTTGGTTCATATAAAACAAGAAATATAAATCTATATTTTTCTGTAACATGCTACAATCCTTTTCCATCTTACAAGATAATTCTCTATAATATATGCGAGAAGACAGAAACTTGCATATACACAATATAATTCAATGTATAGTTTCTTAAACACAATATATGTACATATACACACGGGTGTTTCATTTTAATCGCCCTACTAGAATATCTCGAGAAGACGTGAGATTAAAAAAGTTTCAGACAAAAGTTATGTGACTTTGAGGAGGATATAAGATGATCATTGATTTGACTTTGGGTGTCAAGGTCAGAGCAAGGTCTTTAAATTTTTTTAATGGAATTCTCCATTTTTCATTGCATATTCTCCTAGCTTACTTTGAGAGCTTTCCAAAACACACACACTATAATAAAATATTTTTTCATTAAGTACTTTTTGAGTTATAAGGCTTAAAAGTTAGAGTACTGCCGGCATTAGCATTACTCAAGGTCCAACCGACGGCTAAAACCTCTTAAATGTTGTTTAGGATCATGATCTAGATAACATTTATTAATATCAAGGCCAACTGGAGATTGTTGCTCTTATTTTCATTTTTGTAAAAATTCATGTTTATATAAATATGAAAATAAGAGCCACAACCTCTAGTGGCCTTGATATTAATAAATATTATCTAGGTCATGATCCTAAACAACATTTAAGAGGTTTTAGCCGTCGGTCGGACATCTTGGGTAGTGTTAATGCCGGCGGTACTGTAAGCGGTACTTTCAAGACTTATAACTCGAAAAGTACTTAATGAAAAAATATTTTATTATAGTGTGTGTTTCGAAAAGCTCTCGAGGTAAGCTAAGAGAATATGCAATGAAAAATGGAAGGTTCCCACAAAATTTAAAAAATTCAAAGTGACCTTGACGACAAGGTCAAACCCATAATGACACCTAAGTTCAAATCCATGATATCATTTTGTGTTCCCTTCAAAATCATTTAACTTTTGTTTGAAATTTTTTTTAATCCCATGTCTCCTTGAATTATTCTAGTAGGGCGATTAAAATGAAACACATATGTATGTATGTATATATGTATGTATGTATGTCGATATGTATGTCGATATATATATATATATATGTTCAAGTTTTAAGCATTTTTACATATCAAAATAAATATTGAGCCCATTAAAAAAAAGAAAATTTTTCAAAACTTACCTTCTTCTACGAGAACTTCTATGACGATGACAATCTCTCGCATAATGGCCCTTTTCACCACATTCGTAACATTTATCTTCTGGATGAAAAGGTCTCCCAATGCCTCTTCTAGAAAAGCCCCTGTCTCTTAATTTCTTTCCGTTTGATAATTCCACGCGGACACGTCTTCCACATAGAATACGACCATCCAGTCCTCTCACAGCATCCTCTGCATCTCTAGGATCTTCAAATTCGACAAAAGCAAATCCAGGAGGGTTTCTGGCAACCCAGACATTACGCAAGGGTCCATAGTAAGAAAACGCATCCTCCAATTGCTGTTTACTAGCGCTACTCCCTAAATCTCCTACATAAACCTTGCCATCCGAAGGATAACGTGAGATCTAATAACATATATAAAAAAAATATATACATATAAAGTAAGCAAACTCTTTCTCACAAAAGTATCAATATATAAATAAGATAATAAATTTATAAAATATTTTTCTCTCATCTTTATGTTTAAATCTAAAAAAAAAAAAACAATTTATAAATTTCATATTTCTTTAAATTAACTCTTTCCAAAATAACATTTAAACAATTAACAATCCCGTTCATAATAAAACGATCTTTTATTAAATAAACATTAAATAGAAAAAAGATGTTTTATTACTTCCGAAAAATATAAAATGACTGACAATGACTGAGACACGGATAAACGGAGTGATTTTTATACCTTGCTCATGTTGTTAGCCTTGTAGAGTTTTCGTGGATGAAGATGTCTACAAAGACCTATGGCACATTTTCTGGAAAATATACGATTGACAGCGTTAGCTTCCTACGCGTTATCGATTCTCCAGAGAAACAAATTGTAAATTGATTAGAAACCCCTTCGTAAGATCAATTTTTCAATAGCGTTTCCACCACAACGATATTTACGATAATGTCCACCAATATCCACCAATGCCAAGTATATGCTACAAGCCGTTAATTTATTCGGCCAATCGCTAACAGGAGATTTTATACAGTTTGTATCACAGTGTACATTGCGCATACTGCTGTGCACGTATATACTGCACAATGGGAGCTTTCCAACAAGCGACACTGGGTGTGGTCCACTTGGCGCTACAAATGGCTGCGTTCAGTAAAAAAAGCATCTTTGCAACTGTTGTAAAATTCTTTAATATGATTGGTCTTGCCCTTAGTTCCTCATTGGATCTAAATGTATAAACCAATTATATTCAAGAATTTTACAACAGTTGCAAAACTGCTTTCTCTGCTGAACGCAGCCAATGCTTCGAGAAGCTTTTGATTGAGCAATCGGAAGAAAGAATTTTACTAATTGACTAATCAAAAAATGTTTCAAAGCATTTGTAGCATCAAGTGGACCGTAGCCACTGTGCGACACGGCGATTAACGGTGTGATCACCCCATCCCTGTTAACCGAGGTTCAATTTATTTATTATCTCTTTCCAATTTTAGAATTAGAAAAAGATGAGGAACAAGTTGAACCTTATTAAGAGGCTGCGCAGAATAAAAGGAACAAGGAACAGAGAACAAAGAATAAGAATTTCAACCTATCAGAAATCATGTATTGTGGAATACACAGTTTCTGATAGATTGAAATTCTTAAGGTGCACCTTTATGATTCCTGCACACAGAATGCGGCAATGCTTGCCGCGCGGCGGAAGTTGGCGCGATAGCCAATCAACGTCTCGCTTGCTCGGAAGCAAGATATGTTTCCACTACGCGACAAAAGTTGAACTCATGCTAACCGTCGTATACTTATGCCCGTTTCTACCAATGCAGATTAACTTTAATCTTGGTTCAACAACTCTTCATCTTTTTCTAGTTTTAAGAATAAGAAAAAGATGAAGAGTAAATTAAACTGAAATTAAAGTTAATCTACATTGGTAGAAACGGGCTTTAGGCTGTGTTCCAAAATTGACTGCCAGCACCGAAAATACTACAGTTTACGTTACTATAGCATTTCAGTATTGGCACTATAGATTTTCAGTACAATTTGAAACACAGCACATACATATTTATTGTATTCAAACGATAAAAGCAGGGTTGGTAAGTTAATTTTTTTTTAAATTAAGTTAAAGTTAATAGTTTATATAAAATTAATTTACTTACGTTAAAAGTTGCATGAACAAAAAACTAACTCAGTTAAAGTTATGATTGAATTAACTCTAGTTAAATAAAAAGTTAATTTAAAAAATATTTTTATTAGATCAAAATGACCTAATTTTCTTTAAAATTAGATTACTTTAAATAAAAAAAATTACAATATAGATATAATAGCTCATCAAATAAATTTAATATTTTATTTGTAAATTACATGAAATAACAGAAATAGTTTTTTATATAGTAATATATTTTTTTGCAATAAAAAATTGAGTTTTACATAGATATTTGCAAATAGTATCGGTGATCTGATGTAAAACAAGGATAGAATAACTCACCCTATAGATGCATATTATTTAATATTTTAAACATATTCTGTAAGACAATAGCGTTGATATCGTTCCCCAAATGCTTAGCTTTTTCTAATCTAATTCTTTAAGATTTTATAGAAAAAATATTAGCATTTATAGAAATACAAACAAATTTTATCTTTAAAAGAAAAGTGTTAATAAATTAAAGTTTTAAAGTAATTACATTAAGTTAAAAATTAATGAATTTGATATAAGCTAAATTAAGTTAAAAGTTATTAACTTTTTATTTAATTTTTAACTTATTAACTAGTTTGTACCCAACTTTGAATAAAAGTAACAATTGGATTCATTACCATCATCCAAAAAAGTTATGTCCGTAAACATTTTGTAAAAGGATTTTAATTCCCAAGTGATGTATTTTCAAACATCTATGATACCTGTAAAAATACATACAAAATATTAATAAAAATTTACTTTATTAAAATAAGCTTTATTACATAATCAATGCATATCACAAGTGTACATTATAAATAAAAAAGAAATAAATTTTATAATATAATTAATGTTACAAGTACATCACAAACTAATTATATTACTAAATATTTGTATTATCTTAACATTTATCATAAGAAAATAATATTTGCATATAAACTATATCAGTAATATAATAATATAGTTATTTAATGTAATATATTAATTTGCATTGCCATGGTCTTATTTTCCATATAATTTTTTAATGCAGCGATTTTTTTAGAATGTTTTTAATCTGAATACAGCATATTATTTAATAATTTTTTGTTTAATATTGTGAACACATTGGTATAATATAAAATATATAGCTAAACTTGTCTTCAAAAAATTGTTTTAAATCAATATTATTATTAGTTAATATAATATTATCTTTGTATCTTCTAAAAATTTTTTTCCATTTCATAAAAAAACTGAAAAGTGATAATTCATTACTTTTATTTTCAATAATAGATAAAAAACCTTTCAAAATTTCTCGATCATCTTCATTATAGTTACTAGTTGATATTTTTTTCATATAATGTGAAATACTGATTAACTTCAAATCGTTTTTTAATTAGAGTGCATTTAATATACAATGTTTCATTTATATTTTTATTAATTTATATCTTTTGTTTAAAAACTGATCTTTATGCAAAAGTTGCCAAATAACTGTAAGAAACTATTCAATATGCATACTTTTTTTTTCTAATTCCTTAATTCTGTTTTTATATTGATTTTGCAAACGTTTATGTCTCTTTTTCATACTCATTCGTAGCGATTCTGACTTGTGAAGCAGCTTTTCTAATTTCTTGATTTTTTCTATATATGATAAATTTTGTCTATTCAAACTGCGTTCCTGTTTTGAAACCAATGTGTTGTTTTGTATAATGTTTCCATTACTACATAATTCTGCTGTTTCTTCTTTGATAGTTTTTTTGCTTATTTGTTGAGTTACTGCTTCTTCTTCAATATCAGATAGATTTTCTGATTGACATTGTTCTTTTTTTGGATCCTTTATAGATATTGTAACAGTACCATCATAATCTGTTGTAGATATTATTATCTGAGACTGTTTAATTCCATTTAAATTAACAGTATTTTCTGAATGAAAATAAATATTATCTAATTAGTAACAATTATATATATATAATTACAATGATGACAAAATTAATTATTACTTTGAATTAATTATTACAACATACTGTTTTTTGTATACTATTAATAATTACACACTTAAATATCATTCTTATTATTTCTAATATAAACTTTCTTATTTCTAATATAAAATTTCTAACATAGAGAATAATGAATGGTACAAAGTTAAAATTGAACTTACGATTAATTTTAACTTTTTTATTCTTTTGTTGAGTTACTAATTCTCCAAATATAGTTGGAACTGCTGTACATTTAAGTTTTTTTGTTCCATCGATTCGTATCTTTTCCCACATATTTGAGGTAAAATGAAACTTAAAAAAGAAAGTAATTTTATACTACTTCAAAAAAAAATATAATAATAATGTAACACACAAAAATATAATAAATTAAAAATATAATAAATGTAAAGTTGTGCATATATTTAAAAGTAAAATATAAATGTAAAATATATATATAAGTTTAGCAAATATTTAAAAGTAAAATATACAATTAAATATGGAAATATATAAATAGAATACCTCACATAATGCTGCAGAGCTGTTTAATATTTTATTTTCCAGTTTGGCATTTCTTAACCATACGTTTCGGCGACAAGTATCTTTTGGAAAACAATTCATTTTAACACCTTTGTTAGATGAATTTTTACAACCAACTGCTGCACAGATTACCATCTTGTCAATGTCTATATAAAAATTATTAAAACCATATTTTGTATGAATCCTTCAGACATATGAAAGGATTTTCTTTTTGGGATCGTATCATTTACAGATCCTGTAGTTCTATTAAAATTTCTTCCTTCAGATATATTATCCAAACTAGTAGTTTCAGGACTTATAATCTCTAATAATTTTTCTCCCAGTTCTGTTAACTGAAGTACTTTCGGTGGTCCTCCGCCTGTTCCGCTCGCATAATTCTTATTTTGAGCACACTTTTTTAACATATTTCATTCCAATCTCTCCATGTCTACATTTATTATTTATTACATATAGCAACAAGAAAACATTTATGATGTAAATATAATGTTTATATTTAATCTGATGTCTTCTTCAACAGAATTAAGGCTCAGTTTTACAACTCACGGTTAACTCTTAAGCCATATAATTTGATTTATATTGTTCTTTCGTGCTTAATTGTTAAATTACTTAGGCCCGGTTGCACCAACGTTACTTTGACTTTAAGCGGGACTTAAAACTCTCTCTGTCCCGTTTTAAAACTGAAAAGAGACAGAGACAAAGAGAGTTTTAAGTCTCGCTTAAAATTAAAGTAACGTTGGTGCAACCGGGCCTTAACCTCATCCTGAGTGTATTTACAATTCTTAAGCCCAGTGTCCACGATGCTAGAAATCCGTCGGAGATCTCGAATGAAGAAAGAATTGACTAATCGCATTGATCATGTGACTAAATTATTTAAATGTGATTGGTTAATTCTTTCTCTCTCCGAGATCTCGGACCAATTTCTAGCATCGTGGACACAAG